TCACACTTAAGTTTGTAGGTGCCATCAGGTTTGGCACCTGGTTGACCATGTAAAGCAAAACAATCTGGACAGCAGACTTCGGTTTCCATATTAACATCGAGATTGAGCATTGTGAATAGTGTCGGAACCGAGAGAGGAAGATCTTCCCAATAAGGACGTCCGGTATATCCGTGATCCTTGGCTGACTGCGCTAGTTCAAGCTTGGCCATGTGAAGTGATTTTCGGCAATCGTCGTGCACAGCATTCTGAATGATACTTGCATGTGCTACTCGAAGCATAGCAATGAGGCATGCGGGACGCTGGAGATATACTTGCTGCCTCTGGAAACCCGCAGTTGATACAGTGATTGAAGCTGGAGGCTGTGTGTTTTGATGATTGGCCGAGACCCGAACGGTTTCAACAGAGCTAGATCGGCGTCTTCCAAGCTGTGCTGCACCAACAATCGGACCCATTGATTCATCAATATATGCTTGATTTGCTGTTATATCTCCTGTACTTAGTGATCGTCGGCGTGCCTGGTAAGTGAAAGAGGTTCATGTCAGCATTTCTGACTGACCAAATTCGGAAAAAGGTGGAATCCGGTTGAGTCTATTGAAGGACTCACTGGTAGATTATTTCTCTCTTGAAGTTGGCCATTAGATGAACTAGACGTTTTTAGACGTATCCGGCGCAGTTTTGCTTCGTGCTTCTCACCATTTTGACGGGTTCTGGTCTTGCCGGTGTAGAGGACTCCACGAAGCTCAAAGCGTTGTGATCCACATCCAAGCTCCTCGCAGTTACAGACATGAGGTGCTTTGAAGTTGTCCATTGCCGTAGTATGAATGTGGGAAAGAAGTGGGACATGGGCTATAGTACAAGGTCGAAGTCATCTCTCTTTTTATCTTGCCCCCAACCGTAGCCCCCATATTTTACCCGAGGTACCCGACTCTCACAAATTCAACCCGTCCCTCTCTCCGCGCAAAATTCACGTCCGCTCACCGCTTTGAGATCACGCCAAAGTATTTCATTAACAAACAGAACAGAAACAAAACACAACAAAGAGGAGGAGCCTCCACAGCTTACAAACCCTCAAACTGATCCAGAGGATAAGATAAACAAAGTATAACATATGATCTCAAATGAACAAATAACCACCTTTTCTGGTATTTGGTCAATAAAGCAACAAACCCACTTCGAGACTTTCTACATTTGAATATACACAAACAGAGATACAAAAAAATACTAGAAGCCATTTTGCTTTCATTTCAAAGTCACCAAAAAGATGAAAAAGACTCAAATATGGATGTGAGCACAGATATTTTCGAACATGCTTAGAGTAAATTTTACGGAGCTATTCAAGATCATGACGGAGAAATGGATTTGAACACAGAGATTTTCGAAATGTGATGCTTATAGTATTTTACGGAGCCATTCAAGATCAAGACAAAGAAATGGAAACAAGATAAGTAGTGGTCTGGGTGGAAAACCGTGCGATTGTAATCTGATGAACTTTTAATCCAACTAGTCAAACATCAAAAAGCATGAGTGGGACTTCAATGTAAATGGGGTCATGATATATTGGAAAAAACACGTACTAAAATTATCTTGACCTCAGTACCCATAAAATTGCCCAAATTCTGAAACTACATTATCATAGAAGATTCTGACATATTCGGCCTTGGATGTGCGAACACGGACAAAAACATGAGGTGAAAAATGCCGGATCAGCTGGCGAAGTAGGTCACACTGGACTCGTACATCCCAGAGATTACATCTTGGATCGAGGATGAAGCGTAAGTGGGTTGGTACTGTGCTAAGTTTGATCCAAGTATCTTCGGGGATTGGATTTTGTTCATATATGAAAGGTTCGGTGTTGGCACGGGCACGAGCAAGGCGTGGAGACCGTCTTGGCTCTGGCTCAAGCTGAGGTACTGGTGTGTCGGAAGTTGTCGAAGCGCTATCTGGTGCGGGAACTGGGCTGCAGTGGATGCTGAGAGAATTGATAGTGATAAACCCAGAGATGTTGGTGGCCATGATTGTCAACTTGTAGGATTTTATGCTCTTCGAATTGTGTTGGCTATGGTTTGTTGAATATACTTGTTGATTATCTTTCAATTCGAGCGCTTGATTTCACAACCACAGCAGAGCCGAGCAATCTACTTATAGTGATACATTCCAATATCAGTTTCTTTCGAATGTAAGGAAAAAGACACTTCTTCCAATAGGAATGATCTGAAAGGCCACTCGATCACAGAAGAACTATCAGGTCAAAAGGGACTTTGTTGGATAGGCTTTTGGTAAGACCAGTATACAAAGGCGCTTAGATCCGAAACGCACGTTTCAGAGTTTTCTGAGAATGCCTGTTACATCATCTTTGAGATTACTGAAACATCAATCAAGTGTATATGTGCGAAATGGAGACAGGGTATCCGGTGATCATAAACGTCTCCAAGTCAAATTCCAACGTCTTCAAGCGTCTAAACCAGAGGCCACCTCATTGTGTCAATCTACCGAGATCAAACAGCTGTTTCCACAAAGGGAGCTCTTGCTATTCTCGATTTCCGTTGCATGCATAATGTCTTTTTGGATCCAACAACTCCTTTCAGAGGGTGGAACCAAAGAAGGATCACCCGCATTTTGCATCCCAATTGCATCAATAATAGCAGGGCAAAGAAGAACAAATTGAGAGAGTTCGCCAAGAACAAGCTTTGTGAATGTCGAGTAAATCCCTATATGATAGAAAGGGAGAGACACAGTTTCTAGAAGACTAGGCTCATTATCTACGCTCGTCTTGTGTGGTATCTAACCGGCTGGGTGAAGGGTAAATGAAATTGTGCTGGGCTTGTCTTACATCTCACGCTTTGCTTCGAAGACGGGTGGTAGAAGACATGACCATACCCCTTGCCTTTGAAACACTTTTTTGCTCTGTCTGGACCCTTTTAGTATAAGTAGTGAGTGATAACAACTCAAAATCCGTCACTCAGTCACACATTTCCTCAAAAATCCTCTCCATTGATCATCTTATTATTGACGAGCTCGATAATAACTTTCAACCATATCATACGCGTCCATGATTATCAAATTTACTATAGAGATGGACCTCGGTCAACTTAAGGAGCATGATGTGGCACCAGCCAAGGATATCACAACTTGCGCCGAACCGGCCCCTGTCCCTGTCACCCCCAATCCGCCACCACGCAACGAGTCGAATCCTGTAACCCAAAGCGCGACTACTGCCCGTAAGTTATTGTGTATTTTCAGACTTTTTTGTGTTAGTGATTGCTGAAGTCCATCATACTTTAGCTCCAATTGGCGAGGAGAGAAACGAACTTGAGAACCAAAACGCATTCGCACAACCAACTTCGGCACAACCAACTTCAGCCACTGAAAGTTTTTGGTCTGTGTTGGACACCGAGATCAGTCAAACCACGCCTACCCTAGGCCAAACCACACCCGTCACATGTCAGTTCACTTTCTCAAAATTCATTCAGCGAGTTAACCCACTGAGATTGATACTTTTCCCTTAGCGTTACCTGTGGTGGTTGATCACGGGATGAACCAAAGTACACCTGGCCCATGTGAGTGACATCTTATTCAGATCTATTTTGCGAGGTGATCCACTGAAGTTACCTCATTCCTTGCAGCCTTGCTATCTCGGTTTGGATCACGCTCAGTATCACCTATGGTTGATACCATCAATCCACAATATCTGTTGCCTGGAATTGATACTCGTCTAAATAAATACAAAAAGCGACAGCAGCTCGATGATAGAGAAGCCGAAGGTTCAAACTCTAAGAAGCGTCGAATGTAGTGGTAAAGCACAAAAATGATTGACTTCCGAAGTTCCTTATTTTCACAAAACTTTCATGTTTGTCCTCGTCGCACGAAAATCTTGTCTTCTCTCTGTATTGTGACTATATCTTGTGTGAGGACCTATCAGAAAGCATGTCAATCAAAATATTTTTTCTATCATTAGATTTTTTTGTGCTCAGATCTGATTGATATCTCAGTTTGTTCTTTCGCCAAACAACATCGTTTGTAAAGATCTTTGGAAAAATCTCCGATTTCATTATACAATACCAAACAAAGGTATCGGTTCACTATGCAGCATTATGTGAATGTATTTGACTGGCTCGCTCAACTGGCTCGCTCAAGCTTGGATGTCCCAGCAGTTTGAGTCCTTAACTACTCAGTTCAGTGATGTGGCTGCCCTGGGCTGTGCGCAGCAGCTAAGTTTGTGGCAGTTTGCGGCACAATCAAGTCTGTTCATCTGCTCAGTGGAATTGACAAGCGCGGTACAAGTTTCGTAGAAGCTCTGAATTTGGTACGCTCCCAACGTCGGGCGCATTTCCTGTGGACACGGTGAAGGTTCTCACACCTTACCGTTGCACCAAGAAAGCTTAGATAAGGAGTCCAACGATGAGTTTACGATCATCAAAGATGAGTCGCAGGTCGGCTGTTTGAACGATCTCAATGTATTCAGCTAAATACTGATTGTAACTAATCTCATTAGTTGCCGTAAGACGGTCACAATGAGTGTTTTGACAACTCGATCATTTTTTGGATCGAGCGAAATTTGAATTTGGATGCGCTGCGCAGCAGGCTGCGGCCAAATTTGGCATCTCTTCTCTTCTCCTTCGCGGTCGGCCCGGTCAACCTTTTTAGCAAAGGTAGTAATCCTAATGTTCTTTTCTTGAACTGTTTGAATATTGTTTTATGCAATAAAGCAAATAAATCCTTTTAAAAACCAGAGGGTGAGATGAGGCCTCTAACTAGCTCCTAGGAAGCAGCCCAACACAAGATCTCTCAAGATTTAAAGATTCATATCTGAATCTTGAAGTTATGGGGGCAAAGAAAAAAGTCTTCTATGGATATCATTCCAAGCAATGCTTATGGAACAAATTCCAGGGTTCCTTGTATCTTCTCTTGATCCAGCTCCAGATAGGATTCACATATGGAAACTTATACACCATCCATTTATCATCTGGTAATTGAAATCATTGAGCTTTATTTCGCAGATAACTACAAAATGTTTCCCATTGCTAGGCGGATGAACATGATACTTCAACTTTAGAAACTCAAATAATCTGAATGCAAGACCCAAGAACCTCGATCAATGTATGGGAAACCATATGATTTACCATCAAGTCCCACAAAATTCCGCTGAATATCAGGCGTTCTACCATAAGCCTGCAAGTTTGCAAAACACGGTTGCACTTCCCTCGAACTCCAATGTAAGACAGCTCAATTCTGTTGTATTCCACAGTCTTTTACAAATGGATTTAAATTCAGATGAATTGCCTCTCGCTCACGCTTGTGATATACTTCGACTTTTGAACTTCATACAGGATCCAATTATTTTCTGGTAGGTTTTTGCATTATCTTTCGGGAAGCTAAAACAGTGTTTTGCAGGGCTAGACTGACAATTCAATGCTTGTACGCCTTTTCGTACTCATTGGTGAGACGAGAGACAGAGTAGAGGAACAGTGTCCTTCATAGACGTCAAAATCCAAGTGAACGCATGTCGTGGAAATTGACTGATTACAGATACAACATCGGGTAACTGTTGCGATCACAAAATGATAAAAAAACAAAGTCGCATAGACGGGAGTGTGTGTAGAGACAAAAGTCCTTGATATATGCCCTGTGTTCCGTTGCCTGGGGTTGATGGAGCCATTCTGAGCTTCTCCCTTACGCAGAGATGTGGTTCAGCGGCAGGTAAAGATTCAAATTTTCCAGGATTTGGAATAAAGCCGCACGAGTGGGGACCAGTATTAGGGGGTTACAATTTTGGTTTTTTTTTTGGAATATTACGTTTTGGAAACTTGCCCGTTGTTGTAAGATATGCATAATTTTTTTCAAAGTGGAACCCATTTTTAGGTGTCCCTTTTCACGTGTCCCAAAATAAAAATACGGTGGTTTCATGATGGATTTCTTTGAACAGCTTGTCCAAATTTTTCAAGAAAATGAAATGAATCAAACTTGAAACCCCTATTGTCACTTTTATATAATGTATGCTGTGCAAAACTAATGTTAAAACATGAACGGAAGATGTAAAAAACTCAAGATGGTTTGTTAACCTGATTGATAAGCTTTAGGTAACTTCAGCTTGGTTCAACTTTGGAATGCCACGATTTATTTCCCTGCGTAGTGTTTTGATATCACACTTGTTGAGGAAGGATATGATCCACATTGAAATTTGCTGTAGGTATCCTTGGACCTGGTTATCGAGGTTAAAAGCAGCGTAGCTGTTGATTTCATGACGGTACCGCTTAGGAGATGCTGCTTACGTAGCCAAAAGGTTTTGGGTGCATTATGTGGCACTTGCGAAAGAAAGATGATGGGGGGTTGTTGGTAACCTGCGTGAGACTGGCCGATGAGGAGTGATGCAAATCGCCCTCAACTCTTTGCAAGGTGGCAGATCTTCGTTCGCTTTCTTATCCGAATGTAAGACGTTGCGAAAGATATTACGTAGGCACATAAGTCAGTGGTATAAAGGTACAGAAGTGTTTTACTCTGATAAAAAAGAGGAACTGAGGTCTAGACAAGTCAGCGTTGGCTATGAAGTGAGAACACATGAGTCATCATGAGCTCCGGCGATGATAGGGAATATATATTGTCCATACGTACAAGTCGATTGAGCGCCGCAAATAGAATGCGCAGTTATCATATCCACACATTGATGGATGAGTGAACACGCCAGGACGCAGAGCTTCAACTCGTAAGAGTGCGAGGCAAGCAGCGAGTGTCGTATAGTGTATAACCTTTCCTCATGAGTATAAAAGGAGGACGTCCATCGGCTTGGTAGTCCCTCATCTGCTCATTATCAGTGTTCATTCTTTGTGCATAATCTTTCGTAGCTACTAAAGACCTCATCAGTACCTAGGCTATAACCACCATGACCAAACTCTCAACTACACTTCTTGCTGTTGTCTTCGCAACATCTCCATTTCTAGCCCAGGCGATCCATTTTAGTGGACCTGACTTCAAAGTCCAAGGTGTTCCGCAGCGTGAGTCGCTCACGCAACTCCCGGACGCTGTTGCTCCAGAATCATAACTTAATTACTCTTTCTTTTAGCTTGGGTTGAGGATGACCTCCAAGGCGGTCTTGAGAAGTTTTATCAAAGCGTAGATGCAGGAGAGCCAGATGGTGTAATCGCTCAGATACACAATTACCCGAGTGCCAAGTTCGATTATTTGGGGCACGTTCTCAAGGGAAACCGTAAGTAGACTTCCTTGTGCAGTTTCAAGGTGCTATGACGATTTGCTGACACCCTCTTCGCATTTTCTGACTATCATCTTCCACAAGAAATTGGCGACGCCCTGGCAGCGCAGATGGTTCATCTACAGCGCACATACGAGACAGAAATTTCCTCAGGTATGCTCCCTAGTTGGATATGTGCTTGAATCGTATACAAGGAGGAAACCACTTGCACTAATCTAACTTTGAACCCACCTTCCTCGTCCAAATACCTAAAAACACAATGTGATTTGTTTTCAGCAAAGTGCACAGAAAACTCAGACCAAGAAAAGGTTCAGATCAAATTATTGGGTAAAGTGACTGTGAAGGAACCGAACGGGGAGAATCAAGACGAGGGCCTAGACGCAACCATCACTTTTGTGAAACACAAAGGACAACTCAAAGTCTCCAGTTTTAAGAGGGTCTTTGCTGACCTTGAGTAGGCCAATGTTTCTCAATGATCTTTTGCTCATCTGAGCATCACAATGCAGCCGAGGACACCCTGTCATAGAGCTGGATATTGTTGTTGTTATTGGTGTCCACAACGGACGTACTGGGTGATGTTTGCTTTGTCAACCAGAGTTAGAATTGTGTTGTTTGGTGTGCATCTTGCTCAAGCAAAAAACATCTTCATGTAAACCTTTGCGTCTCCTGTGAATAATCCTGAGCTTGTGAGCCGTACGTCTGAAAAGCCGCACATTCATAGAAGAGCGGATTTCCACAAAAAATGAGAAGCTCAATAAGGATCGGGCGCAGATTTCCTAGTTTTTTGAGCGTCGTTAGCAGGCATTACACTTCTAGACTGGTCTTTGAATTTGTGATTGACGTGAATGGTACGGGTGCCCAAAGGGTTGACGGTACCCGTAAAGTTCCATCAAAAGCAAGAGAGAACAGGGCAGTGGAATCCTGGTACCGAAGGAGGGGACCGGAGAGGGAGAAGCCCCACACACAGTCATTGCTAGGTAGAGAGAGGAGCCGAGAGGAGAGTAACTTCTCCCTTGAGAAAATCTATTCACTCATTGTAAGATACACTTTCTGGAAAACAGCAAAAGGCAAACACAAACTCAAATATCTTTGTTTTCATTTCAAACACTTTTTCTTTTCTTTCACTGTGTCTGTATCCTTGTAGCACGTCAACATGCACACACCAAAGATGTTTGATACATACTTGAAAGATCCTTTAAAGAGGTCTCCACAATAGTCACATCTTCCCTTTGTCAACTGGGATGTTGACACACAGTTGTCCCCAACTGCTGGCAAAGGATGCCACAAATGCTTTTGTCAAATGATCATTCACAAAGGGCACTCAACACCAATCTCAGTATAAATCCTACAAAAAGATTTTCTGATATTTTTCAAGACTCTCTGTGTGTGCATGTTGACGCGCTCCAAGGATACCAACATGGTGTTTATTTACTACTGTTACGAAGCAAGTTACGCAAGTTGAGAAATAATGGTGGCACAAGAATATGCAGATGAATGTAGTAATAGAGAATTAGAAAGTGGAAATAAAGTTGTTTGAAATTCTTCAACATCAAAAGGAAATATAGCTCAAGATCAAGTAGGAGAAA